ATTAGAACATGTGCTTTAACAATAGCATAAAAATATCAAATACCTATGAATGAATCTCACGAAGAATGTATAAACCATCTGGGAAAACATAAAAAGATAGTCTAATTAAAAATATACAATATTTTGTGGTAGGGAGGTGGGTGGAGGTGGAAGAGAGTATAAGGGGCATAAAGGGTGATGAAAATAATAAAATTAAAAATATATATAATGTTAATGTAGATGTAAAATTAATGTCATAAATATGATAGTCACTTCAATTGATTAATATGCAATAGTCATACAATTTTTTTTCTTTTGAAAATACCCACAGAGAAAATTCATTACTACTATCAGAAAAACAAATAAAAATATATGCTTTTTCTGAAAGTAGAAATTTTAAGGTCACCACCATACATGAAAGATATGAGTTAATGTGGAACATAGTTTTTATATTCTTTGAGTTATTGATAATATTGTAGCTTGCTGTGCTGAATACCTTACTTTTGATTCTTTCAGATCTGGTTTCCAACAAAGAAGCTTGTCTCAGTGGAGCACATCAAATATCTTCATAGCTCTCTGGATTTAATTGGACTAAGTTTTAATTAAAACTTTAGTGACTAGAATTTAGTGACATCAAAACTTTAGTGACTAGACATTAAATTAAAACTTCACTGATATTTAAGAACAAGGGAAACAAAATATTATAATAGAAAATATAGGTGCCATTTTGCTTTTTTCCTATAACTGGATCAATTAAATATAAAATATAAACTTTGCAGTTTACTTAATAAATATTCAGTATATAACAATATAACTTTATTTTATTGTGAACTTTATTGAGACACCTGAAATTGGGCTAATTCCAAAATACAATATGGTTTGGATAGACTGGTTTGAGAAAAAAGAGATGAATAATGGTGTTTACAACCCAGGGAGTCTATGATTTATAAATTATTATCTAAAATACAATCCAGAGAACAAATGTGGCTTGTAACTGCATATATATTTCAATGAAAGTCAAGACAATGACACATATCCAAGCTAAATTGCTCTCAAAAAGCAGAGCATAAATTTAAAAACATCAGTTTTTCTCTGTCACCAAGAGTCTACTGAACAATCCAGCTCCTATACTGACCAGCCTCTGTTTATCTAACTCCCTGTTGGAAACAATGAGAGAAACAGGAGTATTACTTGAAGATATTTACCATCTGAATGACCAATTATAAAATAATCCAAGACTAACCAAGTGTTTTTAACAGTGTGATGTTATTTATTAGTTCTGTAGAAATTCAGGAATGGTAGAATTCAGTGCAAAGTAATGTAATAAAGGTCCTAAAATATGAATAATGACAATCATAGCTAACTTTAATTGACAGTTTATAATGCCAAGAGCATAGTAATTATCACTTATTTGTTATGATTGCTGCATGTCTCATCTACTGTAACAAGAATTACCATCACTATTTTATAATAGTAATCACAGAAATTAGATACTATTAATAACATGAATTCAACTATATATATTAAATGTGTAGATAAATGAATAAATGAGTGAACTGCAAACAAACTGAGGCTCGAAAAGTTTAATTTGCTTAAGTTTATATGGCAGAAGGATTTGAAACTTAAGCTGAGCCTTAGAATAAGGGTAACTTTTAGACAGGAAAGGAAGGACAAACTAAATATTATTAAAAATGGCAAGAGGAAACGCATACAAGCAGAACGAGACCCATGTGCTTACAAGGATAGAGACAATAAGTCTAACTAGGACAGGAAGTATGTGTGGTGAAGTATTAAGGAACACAGTTTGGCCTAGGATGGGGGCAGTTCAGTTTCTTGAAGTCTAGGAGGAAGAGTTGGAAAATAATGCTGTGACTGTATGCAGAGTGACATGGAGAAATTTTGGCTTAGTAGAGGTATAAACTGGCAGCATTTGATAATGTGGATTTGGCAGAAATAATTTATCTAATGTAGACGAATCTGCAGTAGTCCAAACATAGAATTATGAGGGTATGGATTTTTATAGTGATTGCACAAGAAATAGAAAAGCTAAGTCTAGGAAATATATACTTTTAATAACTATAGAAGAGAAGGGAAAAGATTAAGGAATGAAGAAGCCAATGTTCAGTGGGAAAGTATATCAAATGATGATATCACTAAAAGAAAAATAAATGTAGAATATATTGTTTATCTTCATTAAAAAAACATTTATCAGTTGGAAGACAGAGAGAAATTTCATATGGAGTTTGAAGTGATAGTTTTACCTCCAAATACAGTCTATGCACAAGTGAGATGAACAAAGTAGTATACAGATACAAAATCAGGATTACAGATACAGATTTTTAGGTCATGGCATGAAAAACGAGTACATGGGAAGAATATTAAAAGCAGATTTAATGGAAGAAAGGACACAGTTCAAGTTCTAATTAGCATAACTACTCCATGTTTTAAGTGTTTTGAGCATACAAAGTAGAAGGGCTTTGCAAACTGTAAAGCAATATAGATTAAGATACAGTTAACTACATGGTTAAAGTCAGGAGGATAAAAAGGTAGATTTTTAAGCTATGCTTTTCTTAAGGGCTTTTAGTTTGAAACTTTAGCCTTCTTCTTGGAAGATCCACACTTTACTGTGTTATAAAGTAAAAAATCCATTATTACAGACATTAAAAATTGTTGGCCTATCTACTTCTAAAACACAGTAAAATTACTGCCTTTCTGAATTCTGACAAATCACTGAATTATCATCTCTGAGATTTGCTTAATTGGAGATACACAACTTTAGCAAATAAAGGAATAAGCAAGATAAATTTCTATTTTAAAAGTTCTTGTAGCATATTTACTAGAATAAAGAAGCATCTTAAATGTCACACTTATTCTGGGTTATTTTTGTTTTCAACCTTGAAAATGTGTACTAAATTATTAATATACACGTTTAAGTACATTGACCGCATAATAATCAATTCTTGATTTTATTTTTAAGTTACTAATTACATTAAAATGAATGTTATCTTAAGAAAAATTTGAAACATAGATGGCTGAACATTGTACAGGTTCTTAGAGAAGCACAGCTAAGTATGTTTTGTGTTCTTAGACTATTTTCATATTTTATTTTTCAAAATCAATGTGAAAAATATTTTTATCCACTTAATCTATTTTGGTTGAATGATGCCTGTGGATCTTGGCATTTTTTAATGAAATCACAGAGCAAATTTGGCTATATAATGACAAATTACACAATATAAATTCTAAGTAAATTGTAATTACATTTTATTTTCTTTTTATTCTCTATTTTTCTTATGCTGGTCAAGATCTGAGCTATTAATTATTGATGTCATGGATATCACAATTCCACCATCCAAAAGTATCCAAAGGATGATATAGACATTATTCTAATTATCAGTAGGTTTGAGCATCCCCAGAACAGAGACCATTTCTTAATTTAATCTTTGCATAACCAGCACCTTGGACAGTGCCAGGCATAAACTAGGAACTTGTCTCTTTTGGAATAGATGAATACATGAATGATTTTGCTGTGATACTGTACTTGTCTGATATATTTCTGGAGATGAGATTCACCAGGGCTTGAACATCTTTTTGATTCACCAGGGCTTGAACATCTTTTTGATTTTGCTGTAATAATATTGCTTGTATGCAAACTACTCAAGTCGTTTCGGTTTCATTTTAATTCAACATGTTACACTTGGTAAATAAAACATTATACTAAAATTCAAGGTAGCATATACAACTATTATTTCAAGACATTGACCGCCTTTTAGATACAAAACCACGATATTAAATGTAAGAAAAACTTAATTAAGAACCCTTCCTAATGCAATGTTTATTTTATTCTCATCTTTAGGTTCATTAAGGAATTCTTAGTGGCAGGAGGAGACCTTCACGTTTCCCCACCCTCCTCCCACCAAAAAAAAAAAAAACCAAAAAACTGGGAGGGAAAAGATCATTTTCCAGCCAGATTTTTCAATTGTTATCACTGTGGAACAGAATGGATTAGTATATATCTTAAAGGCATCTATTCTGAACCCCCTCCTCAATTCCTTAAATTCATATATATACACGCTTGATGGTTTCTGTTAAGCACATGCACTATAAAGAGTATGGTTCCTAGCAACTGGTCCTGTATTCACAGTGGAAATTAGAACTTGATAGAGAAGAAAATGTACCGAGCTCAAAAACCTGTCTGCTGTAAGTCTATAAACCGATATTTAGTTGGTTTGCACTAAATTAGTCGTGGCATCTCAAGAACCCTTTGTCTGTGGGACGGTGGGTCTGGCAATCATATCTACTCATGGAAACGAAGCCTGGTGACTCCGCCCGGGATGGGGGTGGGGACCATGCGCCGCGTGGAGAGCTCGACTGAGAATTAAAGTGAGCGAACAAAGAGAACTCCCAGCAGACGCCCGCCAGCGCCTCGCAGCTGCATCAGGAGACCTCAGTCACACCCGGAAGGCTGCTCGCGTCCGTCTGCCTGTGAAAAGAGCTCCAGTGAAAAATTGATGGAGATTGATCGAGCCCAGGACAAAGCTTTGCAGAAAAGCAGTGCATCCGATTTCGAACGGGTTTGGAATCATCTGCAAAGTACGGGATACAGGAATGCAGCGAGGACTTTGAGCGTGGCTACCGATCTTCCATTTCGGGCGTGGCTTTGGCCTTTTTGTCTTCTTGCCACCCTTCACCCCTTCCCCTGTCCCCGCCTTCTTTTTCCTCTAGAAAGTAGCCTCTCTTTGGCTACTGCTACCCTCTGCTCCCTTGCAATCCCGCCCCCTTCCCTGCCCAGTGCGGTGAGGTCAGCTCATGAATATCCGTGCACTTCCTGGGGAGCGTCTGGCACGGCTTGGTACCTCCCGAGGTCGCCCGCTCCGAGCGGCAGCTCGAGCCCAGCCGCGGACCGCCGGGAAGCAACCCGTTCCGGGGACCGCCGAGTCTGCACGTTAACGCCATTGTTCGGAGAAAGCCAGTGGGTGTGCAACTGGGGCGCGTGGGCCCGAAGTCGTGCTCAGCCAGAAAGTCGAATATAATGCTGTGAAGTTAAACTTTCCTCGTCTCTGAAAGACACAATAAACCCTGAGGTCACCGGAAGATCGGAAGGAAAGCGCTGCTGATTTGCTTCAACTTCGAAACGTCGCCTCTGCTGAGAAGTGAGCAGTTCTGGATTTCTAAAGGGATGGGGTTGAGAGCTGGGGTAGGTTAATCGGCAGATGAAATTGGAGATTTAAAATGTTGGTTTGGGCTGTTCAGGGGTGCTTGGTTGACTATTTCCACAGGGGAAACCTTGAAGAGACACAGCATCTTGTCACTTTGGGAGAACCACGTGACAGCAGTCAGTTACCTTTGATTGTGGAAGCCGAGCTTTCGCCTGGGTTAGAGCTGTCTGGGAACCACATTTAAGCGTTCTCTGTGGCGGCTCTCAGCTCTGGGGTGATTCTGCCAAATTCAAAACAAAAATAAGGTTGCACTGGCAAAATAACTTGTTTGGGTGATCACGTTAGTGTGACCCCCACCGATAAACAAGGCCAGACATTCTAGGAGCACGTGGCTCCAAGAGAACCCGTAAGAAATAAATTGAAAAACAACTTTGTTTTTCTCCACTAATATCTTCTTTGTTTACTATTATTTTTCAGACTTAGTTGGAAGGAGATCCCGCTAAGAGAAAGAGGGCAGAGATGGACCTCTCCAGTGATTTTTTTTTAATAAAACGAGGCATTACTGCACGTTGACTTAGTTGTCATACTTAAATTAGACAATTAACAGAAATAATGTTAGTAAAGTAACTGGCAAGCACCTCCTCTCCTAATAGGATTTTTTTTAAAAAGAAGAACTTTCTGCCTAGTCATGCCCCTTTTAGTGATTTAGAGAGAAATTACAGTTCTAAGGAAAAGGCACCCAATTGACTAGATTACTAGCTAGCGAGATCACTGTGGAGAACCCAGGAGGCAATGGCTTGCTATTTTCCAGATTTTAAATGCCAATGATAGCTTTATATGTGAAAAAATATACAACAGAAATTGGTCTTATCACCATGAGTTGAGATGCACAAGCTTTCTGGGTGTAGAGTCAGGATGCAGCAGCTTTCTGGGTGCAGGGTCATTCTGTCTCACAAATTGGCTCCGTAGAAAGGACTGGGCACTTTAAAAATATAACTTTGCTTATAACATATCATCTGAGATGCTTAAAAATAAAAAATATTTTAGCAATTACACTTAGAACTAAAATGAATAGCAAGTATGAAATCTGGATAAGTGTAGAAAAAGACATCACTTGTAATTTAAGAAATTGTGCAGAACCATTAATAAACTTCTCTAAAAGTATTTTTTAAAAATTATTTCCTAAAGCTTAAAAAAGAAAAATCCCTTTAAAGTGCTAATGACTAAACTATATAGAGTATTCCTAATGCTTTTATTTTCTTGAAACTGAAGTTGATTTAAAGTGTGTGTGTGTGTGTATAAAATCTCCCAGTCTAAAGGAAATTGGGTGCATTTCTCCAACTAAGAATAAGCGTTAAAGCTGTTTGAGAAATGTGTCATTTATCCAGAGCAAATTTTCTTCAGGAACCTCCATCATAACCCTTTTCCTGTAACTGACACTGAGAATATTAGTTAAATAAAACTCTCTCTACTAAACTATGCTTTAAAGTCCAGATTTGAGGTGAGAAAAACCATAGTTGAAAAATCAAGGTATTGACAGCTCTAGCATGTGATTATCTCCTCTTCCTCTGACACTTTTTCTTGACCTCATCATCATCATCTTCTTCTTCTTCTTCTTTTTTTAATCTTCCTTCCACTCGGTTCTTTTCTGACTCCTCATCCTTCAGAATGTTAGTTAGGTTTGGTTACTTTCACATCTTTTTACTGAGGTGGAGCAGGTTAGAGAGAGCGCCTCCCCGGGCAAAAGGAGAACTGACAATTCCGCATCTTCCTCCGGTCAAGGCTCCTATTAAATTGCCTTCCAAATCTCATTTTCTAGGACTTTTCTTGCAAGCAAAATCGCCCTTTGCTCTGTAACAATGCAGACGTGCTCTATGTTTCCTTTTTGTTGTTTCGGTTTTTTTGTTCGTTTTTCTGTTCCAGACTAGAAAGGAAGTTTGGTGGCAGTGAGAGGGAAGAGGATGATCTGGTGATGGACCACTCTAAATCGCATCCGGTAGATCAGGTCCTTCCCAGGCAGCCATGAGTCAGCCGCCGACCGGGGGCGCTGCCCCTGCCTCAGCCGCAGCCCCTGCCGCCACCGCTGCCACGGAGGCTCGCCTGCACCCGGAGGGCAGCAGCAGAAAGCAGCAGCGTGCTCAGTCGCCCGCCAGACTGAGGGACAATTCGGTCCGACAGACAGCCGCGGCCACCCGGTCCCCGGTGGGGGCAGGCACTAAACTCAATTCTGTCCGGCAGCAGCAGTTGCAGCAGCAGCAGCAACAGCAGCAAGGCAACAAGACAGGGGCCCGCGGGGTGCCACCGGCCGGCACCCGAGGAAGCGGAGGCGGGGCAGAGAAGGCGGCGCCCCTGGTTCCCAAAGGGGCTGTGCCGGGAGCTGTCCAGCCCGCGGCTGGTGCTGAAGCGGCCCCTGCGGCGACCCTGGCCCCAGTGGGGTGCAAGAGGCCTGGCCTGACGGAGGAGCCGCCCCGGGAACCAGAGCCAGCGTCCTCTAAACTCGGGGAACCCCCTCCACTTGGGGAAGGAGGGGGTGGAGACGGGGGAGGAGCCGGCGGCGGCTCCGGGGAAAGGGAGGGGAGCGTTCCGCCGCCGCCCAGGGGCTGGCGAGGGAAAGGCGGACGCGCTCCTCACAGGGGCGGCAGCGGCGGGGAGGGGGCCTCCCCTTCTCCATCCCCCTCCGCGGTCAGAACCCCAGGCCCAGGCAGCAGGAACTCCGGAAGTGGCGTTGTGGGGGGCAGCAGCAGTGGGGGAGGGAGCTACTGGAAGGAAGGATGTCTGCAGTCTGAGCTCATCCAGTTCCATCTCAAGAAAGAGCGGGCGGCGGCCGCGGCGGCCGCGGCTCACACACACACTAAGAACGGCGGCGGCGGCGGCAGCCGCAGCTCCCCGGTCTCTGGCGCCCCCGCCATTGGTGAATCTCTTGCAGTCCCTTCCTCCTCCCCGATGGCGGCGGCAGCCGAGGGCCCCCCGCAGAGCGCAGAGGGCGGCGCGGGCGGCGGAGGCATGCAGGCGGCGGGGCCTCCTTCGTCGCAGTCGCACCCGCAACAGCTCCAGGAGCAGGAAGAAATGCAAGAGGAGATGGAGAAGCTTCGAGAGGAAAATGAGACTCTCAAGGTGAAGAGGGTGGGGGGACCTGGGAGGGGGAGGGGCGGGCTGGGCCTCGGAGGACTAGGGCGTGTCCCGGCGGTGAGAGGCTGCTAACCTGTTAGGGAGCTTAGAGGGGGAGGAGAACAGGAAATGAGGGGAGGGGGCTCCTCGGCCTTTTCCGGCTTTAAAACAGCCCGAGGTTGGTAGCGTTAGGTTTTAATGTAAATCCAAATCTGGACCTTCCTCTCTATCGTGGTTGTCTCCACGTTTTCATGGAGAGCTAGATAGAGGAGGAAAGCGAGAGAAGGCCTGAAGAGCGCCCGTTTTTTTCTAGTTTCTCCTGGTCGCGCCTGTCCCCTGGAGCGGGGCAGTAAAGCTGGGGATTTGGAGTGGGGATGGGGTGTGCACAGTGTATGTCAGAGGGTTGGGGGGCGAGGCTGATTTTGCCCCGTGGCCTGTCACCCCAGAACGAGATCGACGAGCTAAGGACCGAGATGGACGAGATGAGGGACACTTTCTTCGAGGAAGATGCCTGTCAGCTGCAGGAAATGCGCCACGAGTTGGAGAGAGCCAACAAAAACTGCCGGATCCTGCAGTACCGCCTCCGCAAAGCCGAGCGCAAAAGGCTCCGCTACGCGCAGACCGGCGAAATCGACGGAGAGCTTCTGCGCAGCCTGGAGCAGGACCTCAAGGTCTGCGGCGCGGGGGCCGGGGCACGCGGCAGGGGGGGCCGGTGGGGCTCGGGTCAAGGCTCTTTGCTCTTGAGCAGGGGTGACCGGCCAAGGGATTTAGGGACACGGAGTTTCGCAGCTCTGACCGCCAGTATCCGTCCTGGAAGAAGAAGGGGAAGTACAGACAGGTGGATCTGAAGAGTCCAGTGTGTCAGGCCTTAGAGAGAGCCAGCTCTGTGGGCTCTCCTGGGAGCAACGGTGGCTCTAATGGAGGTAGTGGGAAGCGGGCGCCTCCCTCCTCCCTCCCTGGCGGAAGCAAGGGTGTGGCAGAGCGCAGGCTCTGGCCTCCAGAACCTGTCTTCCCAGTGACGGCCAGGTGGAATCAGGCACGCCAGAGCAGTGCGAGGAAGACTTCTCCAGAGTCGTTGAAGCCCTGAATAGGAACAGCACTGGGAAGGTAGAAGTTGAGATTTCTCCCTGCAAATCCCCACCCCCTATTTTACAGGAGTTCTTCCTGGCTGTGCTTACCACTTCCACAACTCCCCGAAAGGAAAACTATCCAACTTAAGACCCCTTTTGGAAAGTAAAGGGAGAGTGAAGTACATAAAAGAAACGCTTCACGGTTTTTGTGTGTTTTTTTTTCCCCACTGCGAAGTTCGTTCTTCAGAATCTTCCTCCAGTGGAGAAATTTCAACTTTGAAATGTGTTTGTCAGCAGGTGTGGTCTGTTTAATTCAGTTCGACTGTAAGTCAGGTGTTAAACTTCATGGCCTTGGACAACCAAAAAATATAATTTTAATTACATTTAACTTCAAGATCGAAAAAGCTAATGTAATTATCCTATATTTGTTTTAAAGCAACTAGAAAACATTTTATGAAAGTTGATGTATTCTTTCTTTTTTCTTTTTTTAACCTTTGTTTAGTACTCACTAAGCACTGGGCACTGTGGCAAGCATTGTTACATATATTATTTTCTCATATATTTCTTAAGGGAGAAACCTCTATAAGATAGGGATTCCTAGTAGCATCCTTTAACCATTGCGTAAACTGAAGGTTTTACTGGGGTTAAGTGCCTAGCCTCCATCCAGCCCTGAAACTCAGCTGGTAGGTAGCCAGGTTGGCTCCCCACACAGTCTAAAAACAGCCTGTGTCTCCAGCCACTACACAAGACCACTGCACTTTTCCAAACCCTAGAGTTTCCACCATAATCTCAGAACAGGCAACAAAAACGCACATTTATTTTTATTTTTATTTTTTTAATTTAATCCGAGGACTAAAGTCATTCCTAAAATGAAGTACCTGGAAGTCCAGGATCAAAATTCATGTTCCACACCCCACTTGTGAAAAGTTTGTTTTCTCGTCTTTAAAGTGGGTAATAATAGAAATGTCTACCTCCTAGAATTAGAGAAGATAATGTGAAATTTCCCTCACGTGATAAAGCACAATTGAACGTTTATTAACCATAGCATAGTGTAGAGATTAAGGGAACAGAGTTGAGGGCCAGACTCCCTGGCCACTTGTTGGCTCTGTGACCTTGAGCATATTACTTCACATCTCTGACACTCAGTTTTTCCATCTATAAAGTAAGAATAGTAATCATACCTATTTCATGGGACTGTTCTGAGGGTTAAATGGTGTATATATGTGAGTGGCTTATATATAAAGCATATGGAATAGTGCCAGCAGATGGGAAACACTATGTAAGTATTGACTTTTAATACTTTAATATGAATATAACTAATCCACATATTTTGTTGTCTTTCATTATATTTTATTGTTACAAACACTGTAATTTAGGTTGCAAAGGATGTATCTGTGAGACTTCACCATGAATTAGAAAATGTGGAAGAAAAGAGAACAACAACAGAAGATGAAAATGAGAAACTGAGGCAACAGCTTATAGAAGTTGAGATTGCAAAGCAAGCTTTACAGAATGAATTGGAAAAAATGAAGGAGGTTAGTATTTGATTATCTCATGGTATGCTAATTATTTTTAACTCTTACAAAAAGAATTCCAAAGACTAATAAGACTGTTAAAGTAATATTATTTTTTATTGATTATAAAAGTTTGTTGTTCTCAATATAGTAACAGATAGATGAGTTTGTACAAAAAAATGAAAATTTAACTTCAGCCCTACCTCTAACTTGACATATATAAACTGTGACTAATGTTCCATCCTTTGTAGTCTAAATGTATAAAAGTAAATTACATAGATATCCCAAACACAACGAATGTTAAGAGTATGAAGGAATAAGCCTTGTGTTAGCAGAGGTGAAGGACCAGTTCTGTGCTATTACTCCTAAGTGCATAGAACCACGGCCTTTTAGGATGAAAAAGGCCATAAAGTCCATTTAATATAATCTAATCTAATCATTGCTCCAAATCCTTATAACAAAGCCTCCAAATGGTCTAATGCTTAGACATCACCAGTGACTAACCCTTAAAAGATATTCTGCAGTACCTAATTCTGTCACAGCATACCTCTTTTAAAAGGTTTTCTCTGTTTTGAGTTGAAATCTATTTCATTGCAATTTTGACTTAGTCATCTTAGTTCTACCCTTTAGGGTAGAGGAGTCAAAATTCTTTTCCATATCAGCTACTTCAAGATTCCTACCATGTTTCCCCAAATCTTCTCAACAAAGAAAATATCAAAGAAAACAATTGGAAGTGAAAAGAAACAAAATATTTATCAAGAAATAATTAGCTTTGTGATAAGTAAGAACTTGAATTAAATAATAAAATAATATATTTTTTTTAAAACGGCTTGAAAATATTTAGGTGCAACTTGTGAAAACCATTGAGAATTAACCAAATTACATAAGTGGTCCTCTGAACATTTTTCTCTGCTTAAATATGTAGATTTGAAATGGAAATCTTAGTCTTTCCATGGACTAAGTTATATATTGCAGTTTTCCATTTGTTGTGCTTATCTCAAAATGGTATAAAGTTGTATCTACCATGAAACAGTGAAATTTTCAATAGTCTGATTAAGAATATGTGTCAGGAATTGTAGAAAACTGCTTAAGAGGGGTAAACTCTTCTGTGATCTAAGTTTCTGCTTATTCTTGTGATAACCTAACTTTCAAAGATTTAATATGACATTTTAATAATATGTAATTAATGGCTAATACCCAAGGGTGGCTGGCTGTATGATACAGTAAAAAATCACAGAGACTGGGAACCATGTGACCATTTCTACCAGTAACTAACTGGGTGACTCAAAAGTCCTCTAACTTCTACTTGCTTCTGTTTATTCAGTTGTAAAATGTTGTTTTAGAGGATATCCAACATCTCCTGTGGCTATTGTGGATTTTATTGTGAAATCCAGGACATTACTATTAGAAAGAAGCAGAGATATTTTTTTAAAGTTAAGAGATCAAATACGAAATTGAATAGATATAAGGATGTGTTTTTTCAACAGCAGTGTACTGTTGAAATTTGTCAAAAATTGAAAGTTTAATTTCCAGGAAAATAATAAAGTAGGGAGCAAGGGCTGCTGCCGCGAAGTATCACAAACTGGGCGCTTAAACAATAGAAATCTATTTTCTCACAGTTCTGGAGGCCGGAAGTCCAAAGTCAAGGTTAGTGACAGGTTGACTCCTTCTGAGGGCTGTGAAGGAAGGATCAAGTCTTAAATCCAAGTCTTTGTATTCCGCTTTGACTTGTGAGATCAGTCACTGTCTTGACATTCGCATGGCATTCTCCCTGTAGCTGTCTGTGTCCAAATTTCCCCTTTTGATAAAGACACCAGTCAGATTAGGGTCCACCCTAATGACCTCATGGTAGCATGATTCCTCTATAAAGACCCTATCTTCCAATAAGGTCACGTTCTGAGGCACTTGGGGTTAGGACTTCCAAATATGAATTGCGGGGACAGAGTTCAACCCAGAACAGTAGTAATCAAATACGTGCTTATGGGTAAGCAAAGAGAAACTTTACTGTTAATTCCATTCAGCTTCATTCCAAACTTGCCTTCCCTCATATCCTTTGTTTATACAATTAAAAATATTCAAGTCAAAACAAACTTTACTTGATTACCAAGGATAAAAGAGAAATACCTTGTGATTTAGGATCATGTGAATGTATTTCAGGTGACTATCTATGACGTTGGACTTAAGAGTAGCGTAGGACTTTCTGATTTTCATCGTATGTCCAGGAAAGAGGAAAGTGCCTGTAGCCTGGCTGCCCATTAGCCAGACAGATGGGACTGCTCCCATCTTAAAATACAAGTCAAAATAGTCTGGCTACTGGGAGGAAGGGCTGGAACCCGGGAATGTCCTTAGGAGAATCATTGTAAAGATGCATTACTTTGATTCTGTTCTTCCCTATGACTATTTTCTCCTTCAGGGTTCTAACTCTGAATGGGGGAAACACTCTTTCTTGCAGCACCAAGTAGTATAGGTGTATATGTTCATGCCAAAGAAGCAACTTGCATTCCTCTTGGAGTTATAAAATCCAAAATCAAATCCATGAGACTACAACAGTAAAAGTGTAAGGAGTTTAGGAACAGGCACGCAGCACATCAGCTCCTAAAGTAACGTTTTATTTAAAGAGTGGGCTCTGAAATAGCATTCACAGTTTGAGAAGATGGAGGTGCAGAAATAGAAATAGAGAGGAAGGGCAAGAGAGTGAAAGATAAAGATTTGAGGAATTCTAAACATAATATAGGGGAAATGAAAAATACTCTGTTAAGAAAGTTCCATAATCATTCATATGAGCTTGACCTATATTTACAGTATTCAGAAAAGTGTCAGAAATAGAAAAATTAGTTTAAAAGTATGTTTAGAAACCAGAAATGTTTCATTTAAATGACATTTTTGTAATGGTAATTCTGTTGCCCTCCAAGAACATGAATACTAAAGCTGAGCTGTAGTAATAACTGGCTCACTTTGTAAGGTGGGAGCTGTGAGTTTGAAGGCTGACTTGTCCCTGTATGATTGCAGCAGCTTCAGTTAACCATCTGCTTCGTTGGTTGTAAAATAAAAACATTCAAGTCCTCGGTGACTGCTGACTACACGACTGTCACCCCTTAGTGGCAATTCTACCAGTGGAGAAAATAGAACCAGGCCAAGTTTTCCATTATGAAGAGAAGACACTAGTTATGGAGTAAAATCATAAACTATTAAATAGAAAATACTAGAGAGAAGTAATCCTCCAACTCCCAAATTTTATTTTTCTTATCCAGTCATGTAGATGATGAACAGCACAACTGAGACCAATAGCCCATCTGTTGGAGTTTGAAAACCATTTGCCAAAGGTTTAACTGGCTTCAGGGGTGTTGACCAATTGCTCTCAGGGCTGGTGGCTGCACAAAGTTCTGTGCACCTGCTCACATCCATCTGCTTATCTTCTTCCCCTTGGGAGGATGGAGTAGGCACCCGGGGGTAAGAAAAGTTGAGTAGAGACAGGATGGAGGCAATTAGTTAAATTTACTACAGTTTGTTGCTTGTATTGAAATAGCTGATATTCTGCCAATTGCAAACAAGAGGGAGCTCTTAGGATGCTGCTTTGGAATCTTAATGGCATTCTCAGTCCAGTTATAAAACACTGATTGCTGCTAGCAGTATGCTTTCTTGCAGTATGAAAAAATGCCTTTACCTTTATGTAACCTGGGGAAAATGATGGTCTATCGTTCAACATCATAAAAAATTATACAGAAATGACTTTATGGAAACTACAACCAGCTCTTTGAATGCCAGGGCAGGTTAATGCACAAATAGTGTGAAGTGAGGGTCTGTGAAGTGTGAGTCTTTGCTTCATTTAACTGAGGTTTGCTGTCCTTCAAGAAGTCCTGCTGCTGTAGAAAAAACCTTTATTTTCAAAGCTTTAGAACTCTTGTGTTGTTCAGGAGGGAGGGTCTTCTCATATCACCTTTAAGGTCTGGTGCTGGGAGAAGTGTTGATGAAAGACATTTAAGCAAATAACCAACAGAGGACCTTTGAAAATGGAAAGAGAATAAAGTGACTGAGATGATGATAATTGTTTATTAGATCTTTTATGTTTCAGAATCTGTACTCTTTGTGTTGTCTCATCCCTTTCTTGTACACAGGAGTCTTAAAAGAAAATGATTCTCTTAACTTTTCCTGAGCTTTGCTCTAGAGGGCTCTTAACTGGCCTACTAAAATAGCACCATATATCTTGGGACTTTTATTTTCTGTGTATTTGGTTATATAGCCTGTCTGTTACAATGAACTTTCATTCTAGAACAACAACAACAAAAATCAGTGCTATAAATATCTGTCTCTGGGTCTCTATCATAGAGAGTACATCTGTATACTCAGACTCTCTTTGCAGGCAGAACACATAAACAAATGCTTGTTCTGCATGATTATAATTATCTATTTATTTTCCTACATAAAATAAAGAACTGATTGTAACTATACTTGCTTTTGCTAGGACATGTTTGTCTAAGTTACAAAGTGCAAAGAAGAAATGCTGAGTGATAAATTAGCAAAGGACCAGCCCAAGAGACAGTTTTAATGGGCAACTTTTTTGGCGTTTTTAAGTATTTCCCCTTAGTCTAGTAGTTTCCTTATAATTTGAAAAAAAAACCAAAACAGTCATCATTGACATTTTTAAATGAAATTGCCACAAATACTTTTAAAAGCATCAAACGCTATTACTTCAGTCATATCTTCTCAGACAAGGGCCCCAAACTCTGGGCTGCAGCCCAGTACTGGTCTGGCCTGTTTGGGCCTGGGCCGCACCGCAGGAGGTGAACTTGAATGTAATGCGCTTGAATCATCCGGAAAACATCCCCCCACCCCAATCTGTAGAAAAATTGTCTTCCACGAAACCGGTTCCTGGTGCCAAAAATGTTGGGGACCACTGTTCTCAGAGACAATAGTTTCTCAAATAACATAGGCAAGAAAAATAGAGATTAAATTGTAAACAAGGAAGAGTTTGCTAGGTAAACACGGGCATGTCTTCCTGGAGGTCACCATGTGTTTTAAAA